TCCCTGTAGCCCCAGCTGGCCTGGAACTCACAATGTAGATCAGGTTGGCCTCGAACTCAGAGATCTTCTTGCCTTTGCCTCCCAAGTGCTGGGGCTAAAGGCGTGTGCCACCATGCCCGGCTTATTTTCTTTTAAAAAATTTTTTTTTCTGATTTATTTCTTTTTATTTCATGTGAGTGTTTTGCCTGCATGTATGTAAGTGCACCCATGTCATGCAGTATCTGTGGAGGCCAGAAGAAGGTGTTGGATCCCTTGGAACAGAAGCTAAGGATGGTTGTTAACTATCATGTCGATGCTGTGAACTGAACCCAGGTCCTCTGGAACAACAGTTTGTGCTCTTAACCACTGAGCCATCTCTCCAGCCTTATATATTTTCAGATTAATATATTTATGTTTCTAAATGCTTCCTCCAATAAATCAATCCACCCCTTGAAGAGCAGGAGATTGAACCCAGTGCCTGAGCATTTAGCAAGCACTCTATCACTGGAATATACCCCAGCCCCTTTCAGTACTATTTAGGAAGAAAATTGTGGACCATTAAACAGCAAATGTCAAGACAGAAGAAAAAAAAAGAATTCCTTTTTTGTGAAAAAAAACTAATAAACATAAAAAATCTTATTTATAAACTACACAATTTAATATACCACATTAAAAAGAAATCTGTTTTACAACTGGACTGAAAGGTCTATCATTTTGTTTTGCTGTTTTTTCTTTTTTTTAAATAACATCATTTAAAAATGTTACTGTCAGCCAGGTATGGTGGCTCATGCCTTTAATCCTAGCACTCACAAGGTAGAAGCAGGTGGATCTCTGTGAGATTAAGGCAACCCTGGTCTACGTGGCAAATTTCAGGTTAGCCATGGCTGCATAGAAGAGTGCCTGTCTCAAAAAAATAAATAAATAAAAATAAATAAATAAATAAATAAATAAATAAAATGTTAATGTCCAAATTGGGCTGGGAATGTAACTTAGTTGACAGAGTACTTACTTAGGATGTACAAAGCCCTGGGTTTGATTCCCAGCAGCACTGCATACAATCAGGCATGGTAGCACATGTCTATAATCCCAATCCCAATACTGGAGAAGTGGGAGAAGATCAGAAGTTCAAAGTTATCTTGACCACCTAATTAGTTTGAGATCACCCTGGGTTACATTAGATCCTATCTCAAAAAAAAAAAGCGGGGGTAGGGGGGTGTCCAAACAAATAACTGAACTTTACTGTTTACAGGGCTGTTTTAAATATATTCTCTTGAAAATTAATTCAGGGCCAGTGAGAAGGCTTAGTGGATAAGTATTTGTGGCCAAGCCTGACAACCCTGCTTTGAGCTTAGATTCTTGGAACCCACATATTGGAAGGAGAGAACTAATCCTGTAAATTGTCGTCTTGAATTCCACAGGCACCTCCCCACCCTGAAATAAATAAATAAGAATAACAAAAGCAAAGAAATATTTTAAAATCACAAAGGTTAAATTTAAATATTTAAATTATATGCATTTCAGAGAATATTTACTACAGAAAGAAAAATATACCTTTATTTAAAATCAAAAATAAAAGTGAAAGTTGACAGAAATGTAAACGGTGACATACCCATGCTATTAGTAGAACTGCACCACATGAGCAGGAAGCCAGTGCATATCAGGTTCACTGCTCCAAAGAGAAGGATCTTCCAGGACTGTGGGAAGGAAAACCGCTCCCATTCATACAGTGCTAAAAAAGTTCACCACATCTGTTCAAATGTCTATAATACATACTCTGATCTTCAGAAGAATAAGCAAAACTTCCCCCCAAAGTATAGCATGTTCTCTACACCTGTCAAAATTATGATCAACCACTGAGTAAATATCATAACATGTAAATCTAAAAAAATAACTTCAGGACTGGAATTTTTCAAGAGAGAATAAATTTGGATACAAACTCCTAAACTGTTGGGGAAAATGTGTAGAAATCTATTATAAGGCCATGATGAAACAAATACGGCAAATATAAGCAATTGGTGAACGAGAGTAAGAACAAAGGCATTCCTTAGCCTCATCTTGGAGCTTTTCTAAAGTTTTGAAATTATATATGTAAAAAAAAAAGTCTAAATCAAAAAAGAAATATTTAAACCAGGTATGCTGGCTCATATCCATAAGCCCAGCATGCAGGAGGCTGACAGGGTGGAGGGAGAGTTGAAGACAGCCTGTGCTATATAGTAAGTTCCAAGAGAGCCTGGGCTACAGAATGAGATTCTATCTTTAAAAAAAGAAAGAAGCTGCACCCCTATCCTCAGGCCTTTTGGGGTAAGTCTATAGTGCAGCTCTCCAGGCCTTGACTCCCCAAGCCACATTCACTCTTCCATCTCCCCCGCTGTTCGCTACTCATAGTTTGGGATCGGCGCCATTCCTAGTCTTGGGGCCCCAGACACCAGGGGAACAAATACTGCTTCCTGATCCTTCTCACCCAGAGCAACTTAGTGCCTTTCTTGGGCCCCAGGAGCACCGCTTCTGGTCCTGGCCCCGACCTCACCTCTCTCTGTATCCCTGGACCTGCACCACCGGCTAACTCTCCTAGCCTGCACTCCAATCCTCAGGCCTCTTGGGGTAAGTCTATAGCGCAGCTCTCCGTGCCTTGACTCCCCAAGCCACATTCACCCTTCCATCACCCTCGCTGTTCGCTACTCCTAGTTTGGAACCTGCGCCATCCCTAGTCTTGGGGCCCCAGACACCGGGGGAACCAATACTGCTTCCTGACCTTCTCACCCAGACCAACTTAGTGCCTTTCTTGGGCCCCAGGAGGACCGCTTCTGAACCTGGCCCCGCCCTCACCTCCCTCTACTTCCCTGGACCTGCAAAACCCGCCACTGTCTTTCTGGGACTGACAGCCTCTTTCTGGGGCTCCGAGGCTCACCTTTCCTCTCCCTGATCCTTTGCATCCAGTACAACCCAGCTACTCAATCCACTCCCTGGGAAATCTTGGGGCTTCTTCCCACCCCATCTGCCTT